GACGCTGGCATACTCAATAAGGCTCGGCAGCGTTGCGCCGGGGAGTAACATTGGTGACCGACTGCCGAGTCTCGCGCTGCTTCAGCGTCAAGAAGGGTTCGCTAGCGTTATATTATCTCCAGCTCCTCTTCCCTACCACCACCGTCATTATCCAGCGCCCCCACCTTTGCCCTACCAAATCATGAAGATTTTAAAAGACCGTCACTTTTAGCCCCGTAAGGTTTTCACATCTTAGTAGGGCAGTGGTTAATTAAGGTTGGATTCTCTGTTTAACTAGCTCACACTTCCGTCCGTATTTCTTTTGCGTTTCGCCTGCTGTCCCCTTCTTCAGGACTCAAGGGCCAGTCATTGATTATATCAATTACCTCGCTAACCCTATTGGCTACCTGAGGCCATCAGCAGAATATATCCATCAGCCATCCTTACCCATTGAAGTCGGCAGCGCTAGAAGTTATCGTTTCTACTTACAAGAAAGTGTAATCGAGCCTAGTGAGATCATGCCTTCACATGACCCTCCTCGCTCTGTCTCTCGTAGTGCAACCTCCTCCGCGTCCGAAAGCTGTCTGTGGGTTTGAGAAGAATACCTGTGGCTGGAAAAACGATGAGAACAATTGGCAACGTCAATAGCGTATTCATCGCGAAGTGAACGATTTGGAGAATGTTGGTAGTCTGCCCGTCCTCTGCCTGACGGCCAATCCTATTGTCAAAGAGGACGACGAAGATGCGTACGCAGGTTCCTCTTGGTTGTCCAATCTCGACATAGAGAACCCTTCTGACCACGTCTCTGGCGATGGTGCTATTGACATTCAAGTCCGTCTCTGGAGTCCAACAGTTCCCAGCAAGCTGAGTCTGCGTTGTCTGGCGTTGGCATACTCTATAAAACTTGGCAGTGTTACGCTGGGGAGTAACAGTCGTGGCCGACTGCCGAGCCTTGCACTCCTTCAACGTCAAGAAGGGTTCGCCAGTATTACCTTCTTTCCAGGTCCTTCTAATCCTCCTCCTCTCCCCCCATCCTCCATCTTTGCCTTACTGCACCAGGAATGTTTAAAATCCCGCCAATTTTAGTCGCGTAGGCTTTTCACATCTAAGCAGGGCAACGGTTACTTGCGGTTGCATTTTCTGTTTGACTAGCTCACGCGTCCGTTCATGCGTATTCCTGCTGAGCATAGCCGAACGCTGGTATCTGAGTGTCGGTTCGTATCATTGTTATCGTTTCGTCCGTTGTCTTCTGAGGGGCCAGTGACCGAGTGTGTCAACGACCTAGCGAACTCCCC